ACTTATAAACACAGAACACACACACAGGGCAGTGCCTTCCTTCGTTCACACGTCTGTTTTCATGACTCACTTCTTCCTGAGCAGCGACAGGATGCTGCCCGTCCCTTCATGTCCGATGAGCCAGGAGATGTAATGAAGAGGCTTCACTCTGACACAGGAACACAAGCAAACGTGTTTACACACTCAGCTGTGAACATTTCAAATGACCGAGCCGCAATCCACACACACACAAACATCAGACCGGACGTTCAACACTACAAGCTTTGTGTGACGGTGGTCTGCGATGATGTGAGGATAAAGCATTTAAGAGTTCAGTGATGTCAAAGCGAGTGAGTGGTCATCGTGTTTTCTGCAACACGCTGAGTATTTCCTGATTGAGAACACGGTCTATTTCCTGATGCACAAGGAAAACTTTCAGATTCATTCAGGAGAGTAAACAGCTTCAAACTGAGGATTCGTCTTACTGATGGTGACTATGATGTTAGACTACAGCCACGTGCACTAGCCAGGCTGCGCGTTACGATCAAAATGGTGATCAGTGATTGCTGTGCAATGAAATCTGAGTGCGAGCTGACTGAGACTCCTGCTCTTTAACTTGTGATACATCCCAGCCGGCTGCGCTGAACAGTCGAGGGTTAAAGGTCAGAAAGTGACTCACCTGTAATGCTTCCCCTGTGGCGGGACGGCCCAGCTGATGGTCAGAGCATGAACCTTCCTCACAGGCACCACTGCAACACACAAGCAGTCTTCATCAATCCCAATTTCTCACTGAAACATCATTACTATCAGAGTTTCAGGACGTCTCCATGGAAACAATGTGGGAGGAAACCGAATGGCTTCACTTCCTGGAACTCTGCTGTCAGGTGATGGAAAGTCTTCCATCACCTGAAGTGTTATCTAAGTGTTATAGTCTTATTGGCCCGAGAGATTGACATTAGTGATTACAGGTTGATTCTGATAAACTGTATTGATCAGGGTGTGGGTCTCCTCCTGACTGTGAGGTGTTTAGATTTAGATTCAGATTTCTGCCTCTCTCAGTTTTACTAAGGACGACCTGATGCTGAGCCACAGGTGATAAACCAGGTGCTACAACAGGGACAGGAAACACACCTGGAAGCAGCAGGTGCTCATGCTCCATATTCATAACCAAAGGATTGCTGCTAATAATAACAACAACATGACATAAAAATCAATAATCAGTATGAGTCACCTCTGTAGAGTTTGTTAAAGGCCGGCGTGTCAAACGGCTGCTGCAGGTGAGAGAAGTCAGGTCGAGGTTCACCGCTGGAAACAAACACAGGCACGTTGACGTAATTTCCATTACTGATCCATCTGATCAGCACTCTGTCCAGTAATCAATATCAATAAATATCAAACCTCTTCACTTTAAACAGATCAGGTAAGAAGCTGATCAACAGGTTTAACTGATGAAAGAACTCATCATTTATTCATTTAAAGATTCTGATGATCACTGTTTATTAATTCTACACAGAACAAAGTTCAGGGTTTCTACAGCAACACGTGATTGGATGCAGACATGTGACATCACTTAAATATTTGTGTGTGTGTGTGTGTGTGTGTGTGTGTGTGTGTGTGTCTTACTTGTTGGGCACCCTGATGAAGATCTCCCTCACCCACTCCTCCAGCGTGTCCAGAGTCTCTGAAGAACACAAACACTGTGATCCAGCTGTTACAGAGCTCGTTTCTATCCGCAGTTTCAGTTTAAAGCTGAACTTTACTCTATAAATAAACAGCGTTCAGTCCAGTCTGTTGGCACTTTGTGTTTTTGCTGCTTTCTGTGACACATTAGGAATAAACAGGTGCAAGGCTGAACTCAGCTCATCAGCAGGACAAGTCCTGCCCACAGACTCAGAGTGAAAAACACGTGACAGACCGGCATGGTGGCGGTTCTACTGTTACCTTTGGACTGAACAGTGAGTGTCATGTACTGAGCTGAGTAATATCTCCTCCAGAAGTCCCTGAGCCGCTCGTAGGAGTTGATCTGCTTCTCTCGGGGCTCGTGCTTTAATGTCTGAGCGTTACCTGACGGGAACAAAACGACACCTGTTAAACACAAAAATCTGTCCACAACCAACAAGTGTGTGCAGGTCTGCCTGGGCAGGAAACACAATGCAGCAGGTGCAGCAAAAGAACTGAAAACAGACCTAGCAGATTACAGGCTATGAGCCCAAGCCCACTGATTTAGACATCTGTTAAAAACGTGTTACTACACCTTCATGAAAAGTTCCCTGTTACTGAGCCCTGATCAGACTGAACCATCAAACAAAGCCAGAGGTGTGTGTGTGTGTGTGTGTGTGTGTGTGTGTGTGTGTGTGTGTGTGTGTGTGTGTGTGTGTGTGTGTGTGTTCTCACCCCAGCAGAACTTGCTCATCGGGTGTCCCGGTTTGGCCAGACTCCCAAACAGCATCTCCTTCCGGTGGGAGTCGGACGGCCTCGCCAGCTGAAACTCTGAGTATCAGAGGACAGGAAGTGACATCACAGAGGGAGATGTAAAGAGAGGGAGGAGAAGACCGCGAGAGGGCGCCGTAATGTATGGCAGATTTTAATATTTAAACATGTTTGGACTCACCGCTGTCGACAGCCTCCACCTCTCTGTCGACGGCGTCCTCGATCATCAGAGGACAGATGAAGAACTGAGCCCACCTGAAACGCAGACAGCACGTCAGAGCCACAGCTGGTGTGTCAGCTGAGACTGAGAAAGGCAGCAATATGTGTAGTTTAAATATTGTGTCCAACAGTTTGTCTGGTAGGAGAGCTCAGTGTGTTATAGGACAGTTTAAGCTCATGACACTAATGTGTGTGATTTTTACAACGACAAGGCGGCAAGAGTGTAACAGTTAAGCTGCTTTTCCTCCTTTTTGTAAACGGCGACCCTCTTCATTTGAAATGTTAACATTTGTCCCTGAATGTTAAGGAAATGTCTGCCAAGCAGAGGACATGCTGACGACACTGCAAAAAAACAATTTTCAAGAAAGTAAAAAACCTTGGTTATGGACTTTTTTTCTATTCTATTCATATTCTTAACAAGCAAGTTTTGCACAAGAACATTAAGCTCAATCTAGAAAAAAATGTCTAGCTTTTTCTCAATAAGATATTTCAGCTCATTTCCAGCTTTATTTACCAGTTACAGGGTACACTGCAAACACAGCTTTGCTTGAAATAAGCCAAATATTCTTAAATCTGACAAAATTGTTTTGTTTTGACAAAAAAAAAAAAATCTGCCAATGGGGAAAGCAAATGTTGCTCCTTAAAATTAGCAAATTAATCTAACCTTACTCTTTAAATAAGAAAAATAATCTTATTCTGGAAGAACGAGACAACTTTTCAATTTAAGAACTGTATTTGACAGCTGAGAGCGGCCGGCCTGGATTTGAGCAACCGCTGCTGGCAGATTTTTCTTCTCAAAACAACACAATTTTGTCAGATTTAAGAGTATTTGGCTTATTTCAAATAGAGCTGTTTTTGGCAGTGTACACACAGAGACAGCGGAATGTGGGAACTTTTTAACAGTTTCTGATATTTCTGAACCACAAATACATGTCGGGAAACAGTGGGTATAACAGCCTCTCCATCCTCCAGATCGCTCGTGTCCTCAGCCGTCCGTCTGTCCGCTGCTCTAAAAACAGCCTCAGGACAATGTTACCTCACAGCGTCTGCAGTGAACAGCTGACCTCCCATCAGAGGTCCAGATGGCCCAAAGAGCTTCCGTCCGCTCGCAGCGAGGGCGCTGCCTTCACACGCCTGAAAGCTCACAGCGGATCCCACGAACAGCAGGTAACAGGAAACCCGAGGAGCTCACCTGTCGAGCGCATCTCTGAAATGCTTCCTCTGCACATCGAACTGAAAGATGGTCCGCTCGCAGTCTGTGGAGGCGTTGTCACTGCCGCCGTGCTTCTTCAGGAAGGCGTCGAAGCCGTTCTCCGCCGGGTATTTCTCACTGCCCATGAACACCACTGAGGGGGAGGAGGAGGAAGAAGCACAGAGCGGTCAGAGCACGTCTCTGCTGGCCAATCACAAGTTGCCAGCAGCTCCTGGCAACTTGTGACCCAATCCTGGGTTTAAACTACGTAATCGTCTGTAGGTCCAGCAGGTTAACGTGTTAACGTTCAGATGTTTAAGGCTCCTCACGGTGATGTCTGGATTATTTCAGGCTGCTGGTGAAAGCAGCTACGTGGGAAATACCACTTAAAAAGTCAGTGCCGCGTCACCACGCGTCAGAACAACCTGTAAGAGTCAGACTGTGCTGATTTGTGCACCCAGATGTTCCCTTTGCAGCAGGAAGTCTTTAGCTTTTTAAACATTTCTCATAGTGAGGACTTCCTGATGAGCTTTTGGAGGCTCGGATCGAAGCCACACAGGCTGAACTGACCACGTTTACAGCTTCTTTTTCCAGCAGTACTCATACAAGTGGAAAAAAAAGCATGTTTCTAATATTTTGGCAGCATTTTAATATTAAAGTTTCTCCAGTGATTTCAGTAAATTCATGTTATTTACTCATAACTTACAATAGGTACTGCTAACAGAGGCAAGTTTGCATTTGCATTTTAGCTTCTGTAATAAAGTCTCTTTGTGCTGCATCATCAGGATTCTCCTGAGGCGGTGAGGCGGGGTTTAGTGACACTGTTTAAGGGATAGCTGGAGCTGCACGATTCAACAATGAAAGCACGTGGAGGAAAGTGAGGACTTTGCAATCCCTTCTGAAAACATGGATGTTTAATTTGATTCCAGCTGTTGGCTGGACTCCTCCTTCTCCCATTGGCTGTGAGGGCCAACGCAGCTGTATTCATGTGAGTGAGGCGAGGTGTACGATTGCTTCGTGTTTGGTGTGAGTGCACCGTGAGAGTGGGTAGATTTGGGTGGGAAGGTTTGACGCTGGAAACAGACACCTGATGATGACTGTTCATTGACTTTCACATCTCATTAATAAAGCTTTATTCTAATTAAAACCATGGATGATCGTTTGTAAGACAAGCTCAGGTGATGTTTGCGATGACGTTCACACTCACTGTGCTCCAGGAAGTGTGCAAGGCCGGGCAGCTCATCAGGGTCACTGAAACTCCCCACGCCAATGCACAGAGCTGCTGCAGCCTGAAAACACATAAGGGTCACTGCCGGTGGATCTGTCACAGAGAGCTGACGTAGTTAAACTGTTTTTGTTCAGAGACACTCCAAGGAAGAGGATGAGCCTTCATCACCCATCCTCCACACACCCACCTGCTTCTCAGAGCTCTTCTTCTTCTTCACTGGGTTCTCCTCTTCCAGCTCTTCAAAGTCGCTGTCCTGCTCTTCCTCTGCTCTGTCCCCTTCTTCCTCCTCTGAGCCCTCACCTGAGTCCCCTTCATCTTCTTCCCCACCCTCCTCCTCTTCCTGCTCTTCCTCCTGCTCCGCCGACTCTCCATTGCCTCCCTCCCCGTCGGCCCCACTGAAGTCGGAAATGAGGAGTGCTCGGAGGCCGTTGCTCAGCTCGATGTATCTGCAGGAGACCAGAAGAGTTCATACAGTGAACGCTCAAGTAACGTCACACCTGGATCTCAGGTAACAACTTTAAACACTGACGTTCCTGTCAGAGAGGCGTCAGACTAAACTGAGGGAAACAAAGTGCAAAGCCTGAAAGAAATGCAGAAACGAACACAAATTTTCTGAAATGAAAAATAAAATGAACCTTCAGGAGGACCTTACACAGATAACAGCCTTGGGGGGGGGGCAGAACAAAGTATTTCTAACAGTTCACTGGCTGGAACACTTTTGTTTCAACCAATCACAGGTAGGAGTTCACTTGTGAAGCAAACACCTGAAATGGAGGTCTGTGGGGTTAAACTGTCAGTTGGACTCAGCGGTTTTCTGGTTGCATTTGAACCCTCATCATGGGTTGAATAAATGCTTGTGTCACTCACCTGTATCTCTTTGGGTCACTAGGTGATTTGACGATCTCTGGGTCTCCCTGGTCGTCTACAGTGGCTCCTTCCTCCCCGTCTCCAGCAGCCACCTGAGCCCTGGCGCCCTCTGGGGGCGGAGGCTCACCTTGGTCTGGCGCAGATGCTGGACTGGCAGCACCAGCACCACTCGATTTGCTGGTCTGAGGCATTTTGGAGAGTCCTCTGCAGTGAGACACACACATTAACAAGTTATCAATGACTAGTTCACTGGAAATAAATGTATCAGCGCTGACTGTGATAATCGGCATAAACTGGTCACTTTTCTTTAGGACAGCGTGGGAGAAACATGAATCCAGACTGTGCAGATTTTATTTAATCATGGATGTTAATGGAATCACTTCATACATAAAACTAAACTCCTAATTTACAGAAAGAATCAGCATCAAGTAGCCAATAATAAATTACTATATATAGATTAAATGAATGCCGAATTGAAGAACAACGCCTCCTGCTTTGAAAAGTACCTCGGGTTTTATTTCAGCAAGTAAGGGTTTTCGGTAAAAGGTAAATATCAGATTTTATGAGGGAATTTTGGTGACTCGGCATCGTCTCTCGCGAGAACAACGTTGAACGTTAACAAGGATTTAAATTGAGCGGAAGCTCATGTGAAATCCAGTTTATTTATCTGCTAGCTTCCCCGTTATGAAACTAGCGGAGGCACTAACGGGTTGACCGAGGCAGCAAACTCCATATAACCGCCGACGGCGTCTCCGCAAACACACCGAGCTCCGTGAGCTTCAGGTGGAGGCTCTGCCGGCTCGTTTCACAGCTAATAAATTCAATATACTTTAATCCTAGCGGTTAGCGGACTGCTAGCTACTCCAGATACTCGGAAGTAGCGTCAGCCAGCCGCCCGGGCTGGGTAGGTGGAGGCTGTGTGTCCGTCAGCTGGGAGCAGCTTCACTTGGACTCCAACATACGGACGATAGGAGCCGTTTTTACCTGCCAGGAGGAATAAAACACTCACCTTCGTCTTTGAAGCCGCCGAAGTTTAAGAGAAGTAGCCCGGTACTACCCAGCTGGTCAAAACAAGGCCTCTGATTGGCTGAGGTCACGTTAATCACAGAAGACTGGCCGTCTGATTGGTTGCCACTAATCTTGCTGTAAAGCTTGTGCGAGAAACATGCTGGGGAAGGGGGTACCGGTAGTAATATAATAATTAATAAATTATAGATGCCTCCTGTTTGTCACAGTCTCGGTTATTGTTGTCATTAAAATAAAGAAACGTTTGTTTTCTTAAGTAAAAAGTTGCATCGTTTGGGCTGACTGTATTTTGATTTGATTTGATTTTTTAACCCTGCGAAAATCCACAGTTAAGCTGTTACAGCAGCCAAAACAATAATGCAGATAATAACTACCACGTGTGGTGGTTATTACTGCTGCTTCACAGCAAGAAGGTCGTGGGTTCAAATCCATGATGTTTCTGAGGTTGTTCTGTGTGGAGGTTACATGTCAGTCCGGGTACTCCCCATAGTATGAAGTTGATGATTAATAATTAGACTTGAATGGTTTTCTGTCTCTCTGTTAGACCTGCCACAGGCTGGTGAGCTGTCCAGCGTATACCCTGCCTCTCGCCCTATGTCAGCTTGAATACGCTGCTTCTCCAGCAGAACTCATTGACTGATAGAACATGTCCATCATTTTGCTACACACAGTGAAGGATCTTGGCTTCCCTAGGAAACAGAGCCTGCTTGTCTCCTTCTTATGTCATCCCTCCAGTTCAGCCTGTTGTTGATGTAAACACTCAGATACTTCTCCAACACACACTCACACCCATCCCAATCTTCGTTCTGAAGCTGACCACCATCTCTCTGCTTTTATTCACATTCTGTACAGTCCTCCTGGACATCACTGATATCCAACCTCTGCAGAACCACCAGAGTTCTTCTGTAGGTGTTGTGACCCATGAGAGGATTATGAAGTGAACAGGAGTGGTACAGCTGACCCCTGTGGAGCAAATCGCACAGAGGTTCGACACAACTTTCAGAACTGTTTGCAGATTTATGTAATTTTTAAAAGATTCTCTGGTGACGACTGCGTACGTATGTATTCTACCAAAGAAAAGCGACACGCATTCTGATTAAAGATTGTGATTTTTATTATACTAAATCTGATCTATAATATACAAACATTCACAATATTTTGTACAATCACTTTGTGCTTCTCCCCGAACAGGAGCAAACCGTAAGACAACAAGTTTACAGGAACTCTCTAAGAATTAGTCCATGGTTACACTGCAGAAAAATAAACTCAACACCAGGATCAGATCTACCTCTATCATTTACAAAGTCACTTAGAAAATAATCATATGAAGACGATGTCCATGTTATTGTAAGTTCTTATCCATATGAAGACACACGGCAGGGAGTTACACACCAACGTGCGCTGTGGTTGCTATACAACAGTTTGGCAGGATATAAGTTTATCAGAATATTTAAGAACAAATGTTTCTTCAAGTCTTCCATGAACAAACGCACTGGATCTCAAAATATCACAAGAACCCGTACAACTGAACACGCGATAAATATCATGATACTCAACACGAACACACACGCACACACACACTCATGTAGGAAACACTGCAAACACGGCGGCTGTGCGACTACACCTGCTAAAGGGGGCGAGAGACGTGCTCTCCTCACTCATCAGTTCCACTCACGTGTGTGCGTGACTAAAAATCAGTCTCCGTGTGGTCTTGGCGGCACGGTCGCCGGTGCAAAAGCTGATTGCCACCATGAAGCAGGGCTGCAGCGCTCAGTGTGGCCCGGGCCAGGGTCTCTGATCCTGATCTCCTTTCCTGTCTTTGTTCTTCTGTGATTTTGGAAAAAAGCAGACATGGAAGTCAAACCAAAACTACAGCGAGCACGCACTCCAGCACTGGCCAGAGGCAAGACCCTGGATGCTTTTTACTCTTCTATGACTCGTGAACTCTGACTCAGCTTCTAGCAAAGTGCAATTCAAACAGGTTCACTTCACACCTGAAGGTTGATGATTAGTGTGAATGCAAACACGACTTTTTCCACTCTCATTTTCCATCTCAGATTGTTTCATAATAACACCAAAAGAGCTCCGAGCATGTCTCCATTTGTCTGGAACAGAATTTGTATGTGAACTAAGCCCTTATGAGCACGCTCACACCACCAAAGGGAGTGGATGATCATTCAGCTATGATGGTCAGATAGTCGTCAGTTAACCTCAGAAACAAACCTCCTGCATGTCGGTTACTTTGGAGTTCCTGTTGCTGTTTGCAGCTTCCATTAATGTGAGTCCGCTGGCTTGATCCTGAACCAGAAAAGCTGTGTGTTGGTGCTGGAAGGTTTGACTGCTGCAGCTCTGGGTTGTGTCGTCAGGTCTCAGTGGCTTTAAATAACTCCAGTCTTCTTAACTCGTGCTCTGTTTCTCTGTAATTAAAGCTCAGAGGTCAGAGAGGTGAATCCAGAGCTTCGGTCCCACAGGAAGGACAGCGTTTCAGTTTAAAGCATATCTCATTCGGGGTCATCACTGATTCTCTGCCGTGTATTTAAAGAATCTCACGGCTCTGTGAAGGCAGGAACTCTGCATCTCACTTCTGAGCGCAGCCTTACATTACAGCAAAATGCACCTGAACTCAGGCTTCAGCAGCCACACCCACACCAGGTTTTAGAAATAAAAATGGCTCTGAGGCCTCTGATTCCTTGGAAGTCTTGGACCCCATTGGTCCATTCAGAAATCCTTCCACACCTTCACAACACAATGGAAACAGCTGGTACAGGGGCAGACGTTTTGGGGCTTCCTGTCAATGAGAAGAAACACTGACTGAAGGCTGGAACAGTGAAGATCTGAAGGACTGCTTCATCAGACAGAAACAGGAAGGTTGTATAAGCTATGAAGGATATGCAAAGAGAGCTGAAAGTCAAGCAGCATCACGTTAAGTCCTGCAGAACATCAAACTGAGGGCAGCTGTTGGAGGCTGCAGATTAGAGAGGACAGAGATAACAAACAGGGATTGTTTGTGCTCCTGCACACGCTCACATCAGACTTATATTTGTTCTGTTTGTTGTTAATAATCTTCCCGATGCAGACAATTTGAGTCAGAGTTCAGAGTTTTTTTTTTTAGTGGATGGTTTGCACATGCTCAAAGAGCATCTGTGTATCTCAGTTTGGTTTTCACAGAGTGAGCAGAGAGAATAGCTTCACCTCTGGGATTTAGCATCACTGAAACCAAGACTGAAATCATCATACAAACATCCATAAAATCACAATGCAGTTTCAGCTTCATTTCACACCTGGTTACAGGTGTCATCAATACTCACAGCTGTTCATCCGATATGACTCTTATTAATGATTTAATCTGAGGTTTTACAGATCAGAACTCCCAATGGAGGTTTTTTCTTGGATGTAAACTTATGTGTTGTCTCAGTAATACTTTGTTTTAACACCATTTCAAGTGTTTTCCTTCTCATTGAAGTTTCTGTAGTTATCTTAAGACCCTGTTCAACCACCAGGGGGTGCTGTCTCTTTACCTCTGACCCGGCTCCTCTGACCCGAGCGACTGGACTGCAGCCCTGTCAGAGTTGTGCGTTGGTGGTGCAGCCTTAAAGCGTCTGTCTGAGTAAGGCCAGTAAGAGTTTGTGGGCTATAGGCATGTTATATCAGAGGAACTAACGCTAGCTGTAGAGAAGCAGCATGAGTGATGACTCAGAGGAGGACTGTAAACACATGAGCAGCTGTGGCGTTGTGCTACACTTTGAGAGGAAAGGCAGTGCTGTGCTGACCTGTGACCCTGCTGACATCACACTCCAATTAAATGGGCATTTGGCGTGTTTGAGACACTAAACTTGACCCGCAGTGTTACTCAGTTAGAGGCCTGCTGCCTCACTGCACGTGTCATTACAGCACGGAGCAAGCAGGTGTCAATCATCGCGTCTAATCTCAGGCAGAGTAAGAAGATTCACCCTCGGTGTCCCGGTCAACATCACAGTGCTGCAATCAAAGAGAGCATCTTCAGGGTAACAAAGAGAAGCCGGACGGCATCTTTGTGATGCATGCGAATGAAGCACACTTCTTAAGGGGTGTCCACACAGGAAGTGATTCACTCATCTTGCATCATTTTAATGGCCGCTGGATTATGGCTGTTCCTGGCTGTGGTTGCTTAGGTAGCCCTCTAATGTATTTACCACCCCCTGATATGTCAGTCAGAGGTGTCCTTCACTCCACTGGTAGTTGCTTTAACCGCTCATCTTTAAGTTAAGGAAAGTTTAACTCAAGAGCCACCGACTTTGTAGTGGTTATTTCTCTGTGAAGAAGTCTGCACTACAGAGTGGCACGCAACGGCTTGCAGAAAAAAGCCTTTTACTAGTGTTAACAATCATCTGCAGTTTGGTCTCTGCAGCAGCTGGACTGGATGGATCCTATTGTCACTCTGACCTGCAGTGGTTTCCTGCTGGATGTTTCACATCTGTGCAGCATTCTGGATCAGCTTCTGTTGGATTCGACTTTCCTGCTTGCAAGAAGTTGAGTCTGTGGTTACCAGCTGTGCAGCTTTTTAGACATTAATTGTTTCCACCTTGAAGTCACACCAGCACAGAAAATGCGCAGATCTAATCATCCTGTTGGAAACTCCTTCAGTGCATTTGTTTCTTGGCGGAAACAGTCCACTCTCCACCCCTGACTCACAAATTCCCCCCACTTACCAAAAGTCTTCCTCACAGTCCTGACCTCTGACTCCTCACTCCACAGTAAAAGGCCTCTACTTCACACACATGAATGTCAGCATTTCACAGTTAACTATGAAATAAACCGTGCACGCTCATCATCAGATGCTAATTATCCGTGCGACAGCTAAGAGAACGAACCGGAAGTACCCGATGTCACTTTTTCAGCCTGTCTGTAACTGTGTCACTTTCTAGTATAATCAAGGCTTTGTTCTTTTTTTTTGTTTCTGCATAAGAGAAAAATCTTTGAAAACAGTCACTGGTCACAGTGATATCACCACTAGCAGCACAATAACCTTTTCAAGCACGCCAAATCCGCATTAGCATGGAGTACGCTGACAGCTAAAGGGCCTCCCACGGACACTTGGGATGGTAAAAGTGGTTATATAGATGTTAGTTAGCAGGGCCTGGAGAAGGCGTAGTAATGGATGGCCGCTCACAAACATGAAGCAGAGCGAGTGTGCAGAGGAATGTTACAATAGATAATCTATATATATTTTTTTCTTTTTCTTATTTTGAGAGCTTGGGGTATGACAGACGATCAGCAGCACTTCTGAGGTAGCTGGGCAGGTTTGTCGGTCAGTCTGGTGGTCTTGGAACCAGGAGCTGCCGGCGCCTCTACGTCCACACGCTCCGACATCTTCACACAGATGATGTCCACCAAGCGCTCGAACACCTGCCGCACATTGATGTTCTCTTTGGCGCTTGCCTCGTAGTACTCGAAGCCTGCAGGAGGAAGCAGAAGAGCTTTACTTAAAAACCACTGCAGCAACATTTAGAGGCGTCGGACTCAGTGGATCACATTAGACTAGTGATAAACGAAATGCTCCTTTATGCTGATGATGCCATGTTGTATAGCTCATAAACAAAGTGCTTTTAAACTCAGTGGAAATGACATTGTCCTAGTGTTTTATATGTCTGAATTCTCTGAATTTTCTGTTGGATTTTATTATTATAGCATTTTGAAGTTAGTTTGTGGTAATGCAGATGTGTTTTCATGGATATTTGTTTTAGTTTTTAGGTCGTACTTAGTTTCAGTTCACACTTTCAGTAGTGTTTCATTATTTCTGTGTTTCTGGTTCTGTTGGGTTTTACTTCCTGTCTGTTGATTGTCTTGAATATGTTTAACTGTGGCTTATTTCCCTTCGTCTAGTGTGTGTAAACAGTCCTGTCTCCCTCTGTGTTCTTGTCAGATTAGGTTTTTATCTGTGCTTTGTGTTGTGCTGCCCTGCATCTCCATGGGTTTTCTTTGGATTTCAAAATTTAGGATATTCCAACAAATAAAGGCTTTCTTTCCACTACCTGCCTTGGTGTTCTGGATTTGGACCCTTTCCAACACCTCCACCTTCCAATTTATGCAGGAAAACAACTTTCTCGTGGGTTTATTTCTTTAATTTAATGAATGAAACATAAAATCTCCTTTCCTTTCCATGCTGATGACAATGCATTGTATTGCTCAGATGGGGTGGCTGTAGCTCAGGAGGTAAAGCAGGTCATCTACTAATCAGAAGGTTGGTGGCTTGATTCCTGACTGCTCCAGTCGGCATCTTGGGCAAGACACTAACCTCATCGTGCTGTCTGACGCATCAACCTGAGTTTGACTGTTCAATAGAAAACATTTATGTCATGGTCTCCGTGCCTGCCCGGCCAGCCCCACAAGGCTACATTTGCTGTTTTGGTTCTCTCTCTCTCTCTCTCTCTCCCTCTCTGCCTGGGCGGGGCTCACTGTGGGCTCCCGCCCTTGGCCCACACACCTGACAACAATCACCTGTCATCACCGGGAGCACTATTTGAGGCTGGAACACAGATCCTCTCGTCGCTGGATGATTGTACTGCTGACGTTAGTGTTTCTCGCAGCTGCTGAGAACTTGTGCTACCCTGTGATTCCCTGGAGTTTTGGATTCCCCTCACTGTATATACTGTGCACTGGTGCTGTAAATAAACTGTTTTTGGAGGCGTCTAAACGCTCTGCGCCTGAGTTCCTACAACCAGATTTTGACAATTTAAGCACATACAACATGTTGTATGAAAGGCTTTGAGTGCTCTGCAAGAGTAGAAAAGGGCTATATATGAAAGATCATTTAGATATATGTTCTTACTAAGTACTTGAATATTAATACAAGAAGAAAGAGAAAAAACCCTGAGAATGAGATGGAGGCGCTTACTGGAAAAGAACCAGAAGAGTTTTCTTCTTTTAAGTGGCTGAGTATTTTCACTTCTAGCTTTAGAGCTTTAGTAAGATAGATGCTGTTTATATTGAACTGTAACTGTTTATATTGTCTGTTTGCTTTATGAAAACTGTTGCCATTCAGCTACGTGTCAATGTCTGCTCTAGTTTTAAAAATGAAAGGGAATACACTCCATATTTGATACCAGAGAGATCCTTAATATAATAAAGCTTAAAGTTTGGAGAGCGAACATTGGTTCATGTAAGAGCTGTCAGACAGACACGAGGTCCTACTCATTTCTTTTCGAGTAGGTTTTTCCCGTGTCATGGAAATTATTTTCTGGTTTTTTTGGTTTTTTTGTTGTTTTTTTGTTTGTTTTTTTTGTGTGTTTTTTTTAAAAATCAGACTGTGTGAGAAGCAGACACTTGAACAGACGCTCGTTTAGCTGATGTGGAGAATCTGATTCACTCTCTTTCTCAGGCTACATGAAAGGTAAGTTAAACAGTTAATAGAGCTGCAGCAAGGCTCAGTTTCAGCTCAATTATCTGCATTAGGACAGAAAGCATGAAGAGTGAAGCATCTCATCCCATATTTGTGTGTTTAAGGTGTTTCAGGCTTTCGGCTCAGTGTCAGCACAGCTCTCTGATGGACTGACCTCAGAGCAGCTTTGAATACACGTGACCTGAACAGAGGGCCCTGAATAACACCTGAGCTCGTCTAAAAAACATTGGGAGTGAAGTCTGATGTCCAGTAAAGTACAGACATGATAATGTTTATTTCTATTTTTCTGCATGTTCATTATTGATCATATGTAAAATTAGGCCGATCATGCATGTCGGGACTTTTTGCTGAGACACTTGAATAACAATGATATTCTTGTATCACAAACTTAACTATAAATAAAACCAGAATAGTAATTTATTTGCCACATAATGTAAGAAAAAGTCTGAAGGTGTTTTCATGAGTGTGCTTTAATTAATAATAATTTTCAGGCTAAACACCATCAAACAAAGGAAAAATCAATGCTGGCGCTCTGAATCACAGTTATTCATTTCTTTGTTCTGCAGTCGGCACACGGTGTGCGAAAATGAATTCACGTAGGGTGGTGCATTAATAAAATCTATCAACAATAAAGTGCAATGCTGCTTTTACTGGAATAAAAAGCTACTCGCCCTGTCAGTGCTGAGAGCCGCAGCTTTTACCTGCTTTCATATTCTTGTTCTTCGTGTTCTTGTGCATAAAGAAAAATTAAAGCTAAACTGAGTACTTTCTAAATGTTCAGACCAAGAAAAAGCAAAAATAAAATGAACTTATAATCAGATTTCCTCTAACAGGTATAATTTAAAGGAAGTTCTTCGGCAGACAGGGCTCACCTGGTGAAAACACACCTGTTTGCAGAAACCATCCCTGTTAGTCTGAAGGCTCCTCCTGCACTGCCTTCATGCTCAGGTGTTTGCAGGTAAATGTTAGATAATATGAGGAAGAGGAGGGATTGTGTGTATGTATTTTAATCACACTATGGGTTTTTCTACTTTTTTACTACATCATACATACTACATGTCCCATGAGCCTCAGCATAGAGCTGCCGAAGGAAGAGATGAGCCATCCCCTTTTCTTTGAATAGTTAAACTAAATAAGCACATATATATAATTTTCTCTTTAGGTTCCTTTTTGGGGCCCTGAGGCAATTTTTCTCTCACTGCAACCATCTCAACTAAAGAGGAAGAAACGTTTCTTCTGCTGTCTGTACCACCTGAGGTGAAAGAGAGCTGAGTCTCACCTAGCTGATCAGCCAGGTGTTTTCCCTTCTCAGGGGGTACCACTCTCTCCTCGTCCATGTCGCACTTGTTGCCCACCATGATCACCTGGGCGTTATCCCACGAGTACGTCTTAATCTGCGTGGCCCTGCAAACACACAGCAACATGACCTGAGCTGAGTTTCACTTTCTGAGCTGAATCACAGGCTTCCAGTCAATCACCTACCAGTCCTGGACGGCGTTGAAGGATTCCTCGTTGGTGATGTCATACATGAGAATGAAGCCCATGGCACCGCGGTAGTAGGCTGTGGTGATGGTGCGATAACGCTCCTGACCGGCCGTGTCCTGAAAACAAACACACAGCTAGTCACATGACCAGAGATGGGCACGCGTTAGTGTAATCTGATTACTTTTTCAAGTAACGAGTAAAGTAAGGGATTACTATTGCAAAAAAGGGAATTAGATTACCGTTACTTTCCCGTAGGAACGCGTTACTAAAACCGTGATTTTTTTTTTGCGAGAATGTCTCATGACAGTGACGTAAGCGAGTGCGACGTTCGTGACAACAGCCGTGTGCAGATCAACAATGGATCATATATGGAGTGCGGGAGAGAGTATGAGCTTGCAGCGTTTAAAGCGTGGAGGTGCTGACCTTACTTTGAGTTTGATTTCGTAAAAAGTGACAAAAACATTAGCGTCCGTTGTGTGTGGGAAGAAAACTTCTCTTTACAGCGAAAAACCCCCTAAACTTCCAAGCAAGCACCGAGTGCACTACGACGTAATGGGAAATTCACAGAGAAACTCGCGGATTCTTCCACTGACCGCTGCGGCACACAAACCTCCGCCTACCCCACTCCTGCTTTACAGGTGAAAATAGAGCAACAGGACCGCTAGTCTTTGACTTTATTTATTTTCTGCTGTATTTTACTTGCATCTATTTGAAAGAGTGAGTGTAAACACAAAAAAATATTTTATTTTATGTGCTGGAATGTGCAGAAAATAGGTTTAAATGTTAAACAAATTTCTTCCAGTCAGAGAATGTTTTTTGCTTGATGCATAAAGTTAAAAGATTAAAACTAATAAAACAAGTTTTAAAAAGAGACTTTTCCATTTGATTACATTTTGTGTGATGGATTATGTAGAAAAAGTAGAATTGGGCTGAAATATCTATCGCTTCATCACCTATTCAGGTTGTAAATCATGTTTTTAAAAAGTAACTAAGTAACTAAGTAATTAATTACTTTTGAAAATAAGTAATCAGTAAAGTAACGGGATTACTTTTTGGGGAAGTAATCAGTAATTAGTTACTGATTACTTTTTTCAAGTAACCAACACTGCACATGACTGTGCCAGCTGCAAACAGACTTTAACCTGTTAGCAGTCGGACGTACCGCCCACGGTACATTGGATGGTTTAGGGGACTAATTGGACTGCTAAGGGGTTAACTAATCAGCAGCCTCCAAGTACTAAAAGCTGCAGTTCTTCCAACGTCCAGCAGAGGCTCCAGCAGTGAGTCAGCCCCTTCAGACTCCGATGTTAAAGGTTTACAGCAAAAATAAACATATTTACAGCTCGATACACAAGCTTGTCTGGTCTCTATCGATAATTTCCCCCTTTATAACAACAGTATGGGGGGAGTGGTTTTAGCACTCGCCTGGAAAGTATGCATTATTAGAGGCGTGGCCTCTTTGACTGACAGGTAAATGGTGACACAAATGGCTGTAGCTGCTACCAGTCAATACCTGTTTGTGCTGTTAGAGCCTTTTTAATGACATTATGTGACCAATAATATGGCTGCTGTGAGGTTACTGTACTAACAGACCATCTAGGAAGTGAAATTCTAGGTATCTGTGTCTGTGTGATGTACCCATACAGTCTGTAGATGCATACTGATAACAAGAATGTTAGCTGATAACTTAGCATTCCAGCCTCTCGTCTGAATATGGTCTGGAAACAAACAAACAAAAAAAAAAACAGCACGGTGAAGGCCGAAAGTAAACTCCAAAACTTCCAGACTTCGTGGCTGCATCCATATTTAAGGTCCACTCTATGAATCTACCATGATGAAGCCATCAGTGCTGAAGCTCCAGAAATAAAGCTGTAAAAATGTCTGTAAATCTGCAGGAGAAGAAAAAGAGAGGAAGACGCTGGATTGAGACACAGCGGGGAAAAACTCCTGAAACAAACATCCTCACAAATACATAAACTACACAGCAGGTTCATTATAGATAATTTGTTTGGAACCTAAAATATGAGTGTGTTGATTCAGCTTAAGTGTTTCTTTAGACACCTGCTGGGTTTCTGCAGAAGCTCAAAGGCTTGAAAGAACAACTTCTGAAGAGTAAAGGGTGATGAATAAAAAGTTCGTTTTTAATATTTAAGCAAAACAGTCATTCAGCTAACGGCATCAGCATCCCTCCCTGTGCTAATGTACAGTGGGGCAAAAAAGTATTTAGTCAGCCACCGATTGTGCAAGTTCCCCCAC